AATTGCTGGTAAGCAGGTATGGCTACATAAATTACAGTACTGCAAGATATTTCTCATAGTGTGGTTTAAGAATCACTTGAGTCTGGGCCAACCCCATGGCTCACTCGGGAGAGTGCTGCGCTGGGAGCACAGTGGCGCTTCCGCCGCGGGTTTGGATCCTATATAGGGATGGCTGGTGCGCTCACTGGCTGAGCATGGTGCAGGCAACACCAAGCCAATGGTTGCGATCCCCTTACCGGTCACAAAAAAAGACAAAAAAAAAGAATCACTTGAGTCTGAGTCACCAAGTGTGGTTATAAAATTCTTGGGTCCTAGCTGTGACCTACAAAATCAGGATCTCTGTAGGTGGGGCTTGGGAATCTGCATTTTCCACAAAGTCATCAGGAGATCTTTCTGCCCACTACAGTATGCGAATCACGTGTGAAAGGTATAATAATGCCAAAGTCAGGTATGGGTGGAGTTCTGTAACGGTGCTGAGTAGGAAATCAGAGAAGGGCTTCATACATGGAGGGACATTGGGCCTGGAGGTATAGGGGGTTCTCTAGGCTTGTTGGAATGCTGTAATATTCTGAGTGCAAGGAAGGTTGTGGTTGGAAATGTGGTCCTTTGTATGTGGGGCTGAAGAGTTTGAACTTCATTCAGTGATCAGTGAGGAGTCACTGGATGGTTTTTGACTCCCCTCCCACACACTGCACATGTGTCTGTGTGCACCTGTGTTCCTGTTTGCATGCTCAGACATGCATCTGCATCTAGGTAGCAGCCTCTCTGTCACCCACTACTGTCTGTGCCTTAGTAACCTCATGTGTAAGCTGGGGATAATACCAGTAATTGTTGCCTTGGTTTTGGTGAGTATGGAATGAGTTGATACTATACACATATGTACACACATACTTGCATACACATGTATGAGGTGGTGATTAGAACAGTACCTGGAACAGAATAAGTGCTTCATGAGTATTTGCTGTTATCGTTATCCATCCTCGAGATGTTTTTGACCCAAACTGGTTAGAAAAATTGCAGCAATGTGATTTAAGAATCTTTTTTCTCTGAGAGCTGAAGATTTGTCTACTTTCTTAGTCTGGTGAAGCTGACTAATACATAAAATTGTTTCTGCTCTTTTTCACATGCAGACTTGGCATTTGGCTGTTTATGTCTGAAATGCCCTTTGGGACCCTGTCGGTCCAAATGCTCTGGAAGCTTTTCTACCTCATGCACCAGGTGGAGAGCGGAAGCCTGCAGCAGCTTTGCTCCACCTTGCAGCCTGCTGAATGCAAGAAGCTGCTCCAAGGTACAGAAGCACTGGAGGACGCAGCGTCCAGCTTTCCTCAACTCTGTGCCTCTCTTGTCATTGCTTCATGCTTTTTACTTTTAGAGGGAATAAGGAAGCATGTTTTACTCTGTGTAATCAACTGTAATAATTTTGAAATTTCAGAGACTGCTCCATTGTTTTGATTTTTTTAGACAGTCACTGGCTGAAATCCAAATTTAATTGGTCTCAAACCAGTGTATCAGTAAACACAGTATTCTAACTTTTAGGAAGCACATTTTTGCATTTATGTGTGAAATGATTCTAGTTTACAGTCAGATTAACAAATATGTATTAGTTGTCTAGAGATTTAAAGTTTTCTGCACAATTGTTTCATTAATATCTTTTATTAGTTCTTTTTTCTGAAGTATTATTTTTATGAATGAGGTAAAGATGTAGAGAGGTATACTTTAAAAAATTAATTTTGGGGAAAACTTGGTAAGCTTTAGTGTCCTACCTCCACTGAACTACAGGGTATTTATTTGATTTTGTTATAATGTTAAAAATGTAAAAAAAATCAGGCTGTTTAATTGGATTTATATATAATAATTTTTAAGAATTACTCTGTATGCTAAAAAAAAAAAAGATCTGGTAGAAAGCATACCAAAATACTAACAGGATTTTTAAAAAAATATACCAAAAGCTAACTCTGTCTTCCAAATTTTTATTTTTATTTATTTATTTATTTATTTATTTATTTTTTAATTTTTATTTTGTCAACATACAATGT